CCGTGAGTCGTGAGACTCTAGAGAAGATGCGAAAAGATCAAGAAGAACGAGAACGTAACAACCAAAACCCCTGGACCTTTGAGCGCATAGCCACCGCCAACATGCTGGGCATCCGGAGAGTACTGAGTCCATATGACTTGACCCAGAAAGGGCGGTACTGGGGCAAGTTCTTCTTGCCTAAGCGTGTGTAGTGAGAATGTGAGGAGAACAAAGTACAGACTCTCGAGAAAGCCAGAATCTATCTTCCCCTCAGCCTGCCCTTTGAAGTCTGGGGGAGCTGTGTTGGCACACAGCCTAGGAGCAACATATGAATAGATGTTTTGGAGACAACTGTGTTATTGTTGGTTTACTTTTAAAGTGTTACCTTAAGTCTGAGCATCATCTTAAGATACAGCTTCTCATTGATAAGCTGTAATTGCTTAAATGATTACCATACTGGCCCAGTTCCTAGGCGCTCTGGTTCTCCCTGGTTGAAGAGGAATGTCAGGCTGAAATGCATATTTATATCTTCCACCCGATGTAAGTCAGACTCAGTATCTTCACTACCTTCATCGTGTTCACACTTTCTTCACTACCCTCGTCATGTTCACAGTTCTGCTCATTGTTAAGTAGGTTTGTAAATATGTTTTGTTACGGTGGTTTTGGAAAAACCAGGGGAAAAAATGACAAAACATAGTTCATTGATTCAACGGGTATTTATTTATGATTCAGTAGATATTTATGTGGAGCTATCCATCTCTCATCTTCAGAAGGAAGGATGGTAACAGGAAGAACAGATGCATACAGACACTCAAACTGGCCTTTGCTAGGTCTGGAAATCTGAAGTTTTCTGAGGGAGAGTGGCTCTGCCTTTGTATCCCTGCTGGTTCCACTGGCACGGTGCTATACAGAACATCACTGCTTGGATGAATGAGGGACCTATCGACTCAAGGCCCCATGGTCCCAGCTTCCTGGTTCACTTTTAACAGGATGAAAATTTTCAGAGCTAGTCAGCACTAGTTCTCTGCCCCCTGTTCAATCTAAAGGAAGTACAAATTGTTAAAAAGATTTTTCACTCTCTCAAAGCATAATAATCTCCAGCAAAGAAAATAATTTTTCAGAATTTTAATAATTCAAGGTCTGGAGGGTAGGGCATTTGCCTTGCATACAGCTGACCTGAGTTAGATTCCTCCACCCCTCTAGGAGAGCCTGGCAAGTTACCGAGAGTATCTCGCCTGCGTGGCAAAGCCTGGCAAGCTCCCTGTGACATATTTGATTTGCAAAGAACAGTAACAAGTCTCACAGTTTGTGAAACAATACTGGTGCCTGCTCAAGCAAATCGATGAACAACGGGAGGACAGTGCTACAATGCTAAGAATTCAAGAAAAAAATTAAATATAAATGTATCATCAAGAATTGCCTGATGTTTTGGTGTAATTTTAGTGACCCTCTTAAGTCATGGCTAATTGCTGAATTACATTAGAATCCAGCAGAATCTTAACCAATTGGAGGTAATGTTTATTGGCTTTTTCGTTTGGGGTTTTGGTCCCCACCTGGCAGTGCTCAGGGCTTGCTCTTGGCTCTTGCTCAGGGACCATCCCTGGTGAGCACTGGGGGACCAAACCCAGTTTGGCTATGTGCAGGGCAAGCACCCTATCTGCTGTACTGTCTCTAAGGGCCTGGATTGGAATGTGTGTTCAGGACAGTGCTTCAGGATTCCTGCCCAACAAAATTAGTTTCGGCTTCAGTCAGGTGCGAAGTGATGCAATGATGCAATGGCCTCATTTGACCTCTGAGATCTAACATCTTACTATTGTCTTTGTTGTCTTGCATAAAGCATGACACTGATGAATGCTGGGAGCTCAGATAGGAGAGACTTGTTTGGGGGCTGTGTGTTTAGTTTCCTAAACACAGTCCTGAAGCCAACCATCATCTCAAAGAGGGTACTAGCAGAACACTACCATCGCCGCCGCCCCCCTCCCCCCCACCCAGGAAACAGGCTTTTTATATTTTAGGTAATGTGGGCATTCCTGGTGTTTTTGCATGAATGGATCACTGCAAATTCAGGCATGTCTTACTTAGCTTCTGATACCAAAAAGCCATTTTCCACTGAAGGCTTAAAAGGTTTCAAATCCAAGCATCCATCCATGCGCAGAAATCGGAGCTTCAATAGAAGTAATCAACATGTCTAAGCAGATCTCTGTGTGGGCACAGTGCTAAGCACTGGGACACAGCAATGAGCAGAACATGTGTGGTACCTTTTGTCAATCTTTAAGGACTATTGGGCCCTAATAGAAGAATACAGATGAAAGCTTAGTTCAGGGTGAGCCCTCGAAAAGCAGCAACAAGTGCCCTGATCAACTTAGAATAGTCAGAATAAGAGCCTAAGAAACTGAACATACTGTGACATCTGTCTCCCGGTAGACAATGGTGATGGCTTAAATTCAGTTTCCTGGATGGGTTCCTACTAAGTGTTCTCTACAGTGTAGTGCCTTTAAGCCTTCTTCCTAATATAGGTTGCTCTACACCCTGTTCCAACTCAGCCACTACCCAATTCTGCATTTTCATAAGTCTCCCTTTGCATAACTTTTAATAGGTATCTGTTTTTCTGATTAATATCCTGTGTCATAAGAGGTTTCGCAATGGAAAAAGGAGTAGTTGAGGAATCTGGAGTGGAGAAGTGGTGGCACCACAATGGTAGGATTAGAAATTCCCATCGAGGATCCATCTGCCTGAAGGAGACAAAAGAAAATTTGGGGGCAGGGGAGAGGGAAGAACTATAGATTACACAGTAAGATATGCAAGGTCACGATCACTAAATCCCCCTCCTGCAAGGGAATGGCTTTGTTCGGAAGGACATGCTCTTCTAATTGTAAATAGATCTCTAAATTTACCAAGACACTTAGGTACTTTAGTTTTACTCTGTGTCCCTCTTCCCAAAAGTTTAGGGTGTTTCCAATACAAGAACTAATTCTGTCGCCTTTTGCTCTTCATGCTGAGGCCCAAAGTTTCCCTGCAAAAACATTCTTAGACAGTATTTTGCTACCAGGCCTGTTCGTGGAACAGACTACACCTGCCTCCCCGTCAACCTATTCCCAACTCCCTACTTGTCCCTCATTTTTATCTTCATGAAATACCTCTTCCCCAGTCTCTACTCCCACACTTCATGCCACCCAGAGTGGGGCAGCTCATGCTAAACAATGTCCCAAGGACACAAGAGTACCAAGAGGCTTGATCGTCTCCACGGATGTCTCACCTTTTTCAGGCAAATATGCTCCCAATGGTGGAAGCTAAGATGATGGCGAGGATAATACAGCAGATCATGATCATGATCTTCTTCTGCTCGTCCAGATAGGAAATGGAAAAGGATGGGAGGAACATCAACATTGTGCAAGGGGTGTTGTTCCGAAAGGAGGGAGACAAGGAAGAGGAGATGAAGGATGACAAAGGAGTGCTAGAAGGAAGAGGAAGATGGATCTGGCTGCTAGAACCCAGAGTTAGATAGAAGTGTTACTTCAAGGTGAGAGTCATCAGAGATGAAGAGTCAGTAGCCGTAGTGGAGGATAACCTCTACATCCCAGAAAGTCAGACCTACTTCCTGCTAGAGACACATATCTGGGAGTGAGTGGATCAAATTCTTTTGGGTAAAAGCACCGAAAACCTGAAACTCACAGTTAAATGTTGATGTCTTTGAAAGTAAAGCCATTTTTTAAGATAAAATTAGAACTTCTGATCCATCTGACCCAATGCAGTAGTTTTTAAAAGATTCAAAGGGCCAGAGAGAAACAGCAAGGGAAGGCACACACTTGCATAGGGCCGACACAAGCTCAGTCCCCAGCAGCACATATGGTCCCCTGAACAAAACCCTGAATCCCACCAGGTGTGGCCCAAAGCAAACCAGAAGATTCTGGACCCTTTGCAAAAACCTAAGCAGCACCCACCATGGTACCAGATCACAATGTTTTTCAGGGAAGTAGAGCCAGAGCTGTTTCATAATCAATATAAAGTCATTTATTTTTAAATTAGCAATAAAATAATCAAGTTTACATTAAAAAAAAATACACACAACAACAACAAAATACCTTCACTTGCATTCTAACTCTAAGTCCCAGACCTCAGTCTCCAGAGCATGAAGGACTGATTACAAAGCTTGTCTGCATGCTGCAGAACCCAGTCCTCATCTGACTTCACAGCCGTGGGCAAGAGCGATCCCCTGGCTCTGTCTGAGTACTGGGCAATGAAGGAGTAAAGGAGCCCACGTGAAGGAAGCCAGCAAGCGGTGCCTGACCTAGGGTGCTCCCCTGTCCGGAGAACATTAAGGTCAGAGCCAAAATACAAATCAGGGAGAACGGAGGCAGAAGGCAAGGGGCTCACCGGTGGGTTGGCCAGTCACTACACTTGAGAACTTCCCACCTGTTGCTTCCTCCGGATGAGACATGGAGGCCACAGCGAACCACTCAGATTCACTTTGACAGAACTACTCAGTTGTTCCTCATCTGTGCCTACTAGCTCAGCCCCAGAGAAACACATCTGCCATCCCGAGGCCACTTGGGTGATACCACACCCTTACAGGATGTTCTCAAGTCAAGCCTAGAAGAAGTGTCAAAACTTTTGTCACACTTTCTGTCTGCTAAGCAGAAAAGCTGAATGACACCTTAGTCCTCAGCCCAAAGATCTATGATTCTTCCAGTACCCTTCCCAGAGAAGAGCACAGGTCTCAATGACAGGGTAAGATTCTATTTTCAGTAGAAATTCACTTTGTGAGTGTTTCTTACATAATTTTCACTCGTGTATTTCTTTTTCAAGGTCATAAATATCCTTCACTTCTGATTTCCGATTTCCTGAGAGATACACGCATCCATGGACATGCACCTCAAACACAGAATTTAAAAAAAAATGATCTAGAATCCATGAAATGAGTGATTGAATATTCTGTCTGAAACATGTCCAGAGCCTGCACTGTAGAGCACCTAGCCCCTGGCCCAGTTTCCAGTGCTTGGTTATTGCTGGTCTCAAGGCCAACAGCTAGCTGGTTTCCAGGACTCAGACATGGAAACAAGAACCAGACTTTCAATGCTAACAGATGGTAACCTCGAAGGATGGTCAACCTGGTGCCTCCCTGGGTAAACATGAGCAAATACAGCATATGCAAAGATCAAAGTTGGCCGGTCACCAAGCTGAGAGTAGCTTAAAGCCTAATTTCAAATAGCCCAACTGCTGAGACCAAAATGACATCTGCCGGTCCCTCTTATTTCCTGACATAGGGAAAAACAGACTGAGGATCAGGGTCCTGCCTGGCAGAAGTCTCAGGTACCAGGCCTTCTCACTGCTAGACTTAGAAGAATCCCTTTACTTTCTTCTAGAGAATCACCCCAACCCCACCCAAATAAAAGCAATTTCTAGGAGAAGAATCCTCCATGAGGTAGAAAATACAGCACCTTGGGAAGGCCTCAGCTAAGCTTTTCAAGGTGCAGTGTCTAATTTGACACATCTGAATGACAAGGTGCAGTGTCCAATTTGACACGTCAGAATGAAGAAACACAAATGGCTACTTCATCATCCAGGAGAAAAGGCACTTCGGCATTGGTGGGGCAGGAGAAGGTTTGGAGAACTCGGGGTTGCGCTCGGGCGACGGGGTTCCTCCAGGGCTAAATTGTTGGCTGGGTCAGGTCCAGGGATGGTGACACGGAAACAAAGGAATGGTTTCTCTCGCTCTCGGGTGCGCCATTCCAACTCCATTTCCATCTAAAGTCATAGGTGGCCACTCCAGGCTGGAGAAAAATTGGATTCTAAGAGAGGAGGGGAAGGAAGAGCCGATCAGTGCACAGGATGGAGGCAGACAGTGACATTAAGAATCAGCCAGAAACCTAGAAGGTACAAAGGTTAGTTAGAACTGCAAAATGGAAAATAACAGAAAAATCAACAGGAAGCTTGAGAAATCTGACAGCCCCCAAGACCCAGAATTAACTATCCCACTCACTGTACAAGGGAGATAAAAGGTACTGTGGTGAGGGAGGGGGGTAAAAATAGAAAACTTTCTGGGTCATTGTGAATCCTTCACGCTGGCCGCCACACACTCGTGAAAACTTGTCAATGGGGAGGCACAATCTGACTAAAAACACCAGTTCTCACCACACAACTCCCGTCAGCATCTCTCCAATACAGCTGCAGAAGCCTCCAAGGTACTGGTATCTTCTCCATCACTGCCCCCTCCCCCCTTACCTCCCAGAAGGCACAGTGAAGAGAGAAAGGACTGGAGCGATAGCACAGCTGGTAGGGCGTTTGCCTTGCACAGACCCAGGTTCGATTCCCAGCATCCCATAAGGCTCCCTAGGTACCACCAGGAGTAATTACTGATTGCAAAGCCAGGAATAACCCCTGTGCATCACCGGTGTGACCCAAAAAGCAAAAAAAAAAAAAGGGGGGGGTGGGGAAGCTTAGGGGACAGATGATGGTGCTCTGCCTTACAAGTCGTGTGGGCTGGGACAAGTTTAACTTTAATGAACTTGAAAGAGGTTCCGTGTCTGAAAAACTGGAAAAGGAGGAGAATATTCCTGTGCTAGAGCTGTAGCTGGCACATAGCTGGGAAGAATAAATGCATACTTCCGCATACTTCCTCTCTGCCCCCCCACCCTCACAGTCCTCTCTCCCTCAGAGCAGACGGATGCCCAGGGGGGATTTGAGTAGGGAATATGAGGTGCAGCGGAACAAGCAACCTCACAGCTGTTCAGCCACGTGGCATCTTCAAGCTCAGATGAGTCAACTCCCAGCAATGTTAGAATTATTCCCGTTTTAAAAAATGATTCATGGGGGCCGGAGAGATGGTACAGCAGGTAGGGAGTTTGCCTTGCACGTGGTCGACCCAGGTTCGATACCCAGAATTGCATATGGTCCCCCAAGCACCACCAGGAGTAATTCCTGAGAACATAGCCAGGAGTAACCCCTGAGCATCGGTGGGTGTGGCCCAAAAAGAAAAAAATAAAAAATGATTCGTTTACCTTCTGAATTCCCAGGATTTGGAATGGAAATAGGCACTATGCATTTGGAAGGCATCTTTCATCCAAGGCTGCACTGCACTGTACTGTCCTCCCGTTGTTCATCAATTTGCTCGACCCAGTAACATCTCCATTATGAGGCTTGTTGTTACTGTGTTTGGCATATTGAATACATCACGGGTAGCTTGCCAGGCTTTGCCATTGCAGACGAGATACTCTCGGTAGCTTGCTGGGCTCTCCAAGAGGGGCAGAGGAATCGAATCTGGCTCGGCCAGGGAAGATTTCAACTATTTAAACCTTACCTAATTTTCACTTCCTTTTCCAGTGAGAGTTAAGAACCCAAACGAAATGTAACCCTTAACAGGAGTAAAAAATAAGGAGCAGAGTCCAAATGCCATGGGAAAAAACTGAACCAACCAATTAATTGTCTCAAGAGACACTGATGGCCTCATTGAACTGCTTATTTTCCAAGAAGAATTTGAATGCTAGTACTATAGTAATTTGGCTTTCAAACCACTTGAAAGGAAGAAGAGGAGGAAGAGACATATTGAAACAATACAAGGAAGGAACAGTTCTAAGTATCAACATGGCAGAATATATAGTCTTAAAAATACATCTATTACTCAGTAACTCCTACGAATCTGTAATAAAAAAGTGGGTATGAGAAAAAGGTTAATTTAGTCATACTGTTAATAACAGCAATTACAAAGGTAAAACCCTCTAAATATAGGGGAAACACTAAAGAGTTGATGTGATTGAACAAAATGGACTAGAGTCCCACTACCCACTGCAGGTCGTGGGGCTCTACCTGCAGTTCCCACTAGGGATGTTGGTTGATTAAATTCAATAATCTAGATGGCTGGCAAGGTTTCATTTAAAAAGTTTATGCTGAATGAAGGCTGGAGTCCTGCTCACCAGCAAGGAAAGGTGAACAGTCACAATCTGTAGCCAAAAATTAGATGTACAAGGAGATTTTTAGCATTGAGGAAAAATGCCTATGATTTTGTAATAGTGCACAAAACTTTAGTTAGTAGCACATGAACTATATAAAATTACACTGCACATGAAACCTGTCAGAAGGTATCAGTCATAATATTAAGTTCACTGCTTCACCTTTACTTTATAGATCTTTTAAATATATATATGTGTATATATATATGTTGTCTTATTCAAAAATAGTATTGAAAAAGCTTTAACAGTCCCCAAAACAAGACCATTCTTGCCAAGATATTAATATACACATGAAGCTCTGAGTCAGTGGTCAGCTCATTCTGCTACATTTTAAAGAAATTAATAGGCTAAACTTTAAAGTCACTCAGCACTAAGATTCTCCTGATCTTCGGGATTTCTAGATGGCTATCTTTTTTCATAAAGAGAACTTAAGATGTAATAAGGAAGACTCCTAAAAATCCATTACAAGGGTGTGTGTGTGTGTGTGTGTGTGTGTGTGTGTGTGTGTGTACCTGGTTCTGTTCTTGACTTGCCTTGAAGTTTAGTGTCTTCACCTGTAAAATGTGGATAACAATAGTCCCCACCTCACAGGGGTGCTGTGAGGATTCCAGAGTAAGTGTAACAGGTGTTTATGAATATACTGTCCTGCACAACTCAATATTCAAAACCATTAACCCATTTATCATTTGAGATCCCATCACTCAGCCACAAACCAAACCCCACAAACCCTAATCCCAATTCCCAGCTTCGTTTACACCGAAAAGAATACAAAAGCAAAGCCCCATACCCAGGCAAGCCAGGAAGAACTCAACGAACTCCAGATCGAAATCACATATTCTTGTACCCAGCCAAGGAACAGGCTTACTGAGTGAGGAGAGCAGAAAGGAGACGCTCAGGTGTGCCAGGAGAGGTGGAGAAGCACATCCCGAGACAGAGCACAAAGACAGAATCTGTAGGACAGGAGCAAGCAGAGATGTGGCCGTGGACTGCAACCAGAACCCAAGAGCAGAATTTGAAGCAGACGCAAGAACGCACGGGCCACTGAATGTCTCAGAGAGCTACACAGTGTCTGAGGACAATCAGAAGGGAGAAGCAGTTGAATCTGTAGCCTCAGCAAGCCCATCACAGTCCCCCGAACCTTCCTGTACTTACATTTCAGTGCAGCAGCCGCTCAGGCCGCCCTATTAAAGGGCAACGGAAAGTCCAATAATCAATGCTAGAATGCCCAGCAACACACCTACTACCACAAAGATAATTATCAGTTTCTGGAGAGAGGAATAAGAAAAAAATATATATTACAAACAACAACAACAAAAAACAGGAATTCATCCCCAACCCAACTCCTCTCACCTCAACAGAGAAAACCTCATCAATCCAAATTAAAAAGCTGACATCCCTACACAACACAAACATTCTAGCAGCATATTGTGTTTTCCTAGATTGCTTCTTAGCTAGCAAGGCCAGCAGACAGAAATATAGAGTTTTGAGCCATTCGCATAACAGTTCCGCATGCCTGGAGAAGATGCTATCACAGGGTTCCCAGGCAGCAAAGGGTCATTATAATTGTCTTTTTCGAGCGAGTAAGGCTCTTTTTTGATTTCAAACTTTCATCCATCTTTCCCCAGCAGGACACCCCACCTCTCACATCAAAACGCATGATTATGGTTCTAGAGCGAGCTGGCCTGGATTCAGAACGACATTCGAAAATCACTTCCAGGTTCTTTATATCCCTGCCCAAGCAATACAGAAAGTCCAGAAGAAAAACTCAAGAATGAAAACACCAGAGCCCGTGAGAAAGTGCCAGAAAGGTACAGCCTGAGAGAGGCCAGTCGCCTCCAACACCAATGGCAGAGAAGCCCGAAAGTTCCCCAGCAAGGAGGGTACCAAGAATAGAGGGAAGCGGATGGTGTGCTTGGATGAGCGTGATGACTTACTAAACCTCAACTTGAAGGCTGACCCAGAGAGTTCTTAACCTCCGAGCCTCAACTTTTTTTTCACTGTGAGGCAGAAATAATAGGTGCTCTAGACATTCGAGAATGTTCCCGGGGCAATGAGCAGATCACCCGGTTCCTGGCAGAGGCAAAGGTGTGTGGGGTGGCAGAAGACACTACAGTGAGGGACAATGAAGAGAAGGATGAGGTGTCTGAGGAACGGAGGAGTGAAATGTACTGATGGCAGGGATGCTAAGTTGTGTCCAAGGGACCAGCCACTGCTGGGCAGCGTGTCCACCCTACAGAGCGGCCGTGTATGTGCTCACGGGGAGAGTCTGAGCCAGATCCATGCGTGTCTCAGCAGGGCAGGAGTCCCACCCGGGAAGGCTGGTGTAGGTCTCGGGACCGAGGAAGGGACAGGGTGGGAAGGCACAGGGGCCTGAGGACACAGGTGGGCAGGACTCTGAGGAGAAACAGCCGGCCCCGCTGAGCAGGGCGCTCACCCGCCGAGCTTCGCTCTGGTACTTGACGGCCTTTTTGGTGTCGGCCACGGCCCGCTCCACGAAGCCCACTGACTGGTCCATGTTGTTCTCAATCCGGTCAATCATGGCTCCCTTTGCCCGCACGGAAGACACGACAGGGACAGAGACAGGCAAGAGAGAAAGCGAGAGACACGGCAAACCAAAGTTGGACTCTCTCTCCTCCGAGGGCCGCAGAGAGTCTCACCTTCCGGGCCTGGCCCTTGTACTTCACAGCTCGCTTCGTTTCTTCCCGCGCCTTCTCCACATGGTCCACTGTGTGCATGACATTCAGCTCTATGTTATCTAACATCTCACCCTGCAAAGGACAGATGCCGGTCACACCCCATGAGCCTGCCCCAGAACTGGGATGCTCTTCTCGTCAGGCTCAGGGTGGAGAAACTGAGACAGCCACTGGACGTGTGGGCACGTGTGCGCATGTTCCTCCCGCTTTCCTGTGGTTCCCTGCCCCTTGGTGGTGGTCACTCACTCGAGAAAGTCAATCAAGCGACTATAGAAAAACTCCTTGGAGACCAGCACCTCGCTAGATTCTTCCAGCACCCTGTATGGATACCCGGTAACCATAAATTTAATCTCTTTTCTTTTCCTGAGGGATGCCACCACCAGATTTTTCCCTAAAATTAAGCACGTGAGAAGGGGAACCAGAGTAAGACTCTCGTGGGCTGGGGATGTGGCTTAGTGGGGAAGTGCATGCAAGGCATGTCAGCCCCCAGTACAGTCTACCTATCAGGACATGAGACTTGTATAGAAGTATTAGAAGTCTCGTGTTCTCAGTGCATTACTCATCTCCTCCTGGGCATTGAGACCTGCGCCAAGCTGGTCATTCAGCCTGATTGGGACCCTATAGAAGGGTCCCTGCATACCGCGTGTGCTCAGTAAGTACCAGAGCTGGGGAACACGTTTGCTTTCTCTGAAAGGCCCTGAAGGGGGACACTTGACACATCCTTAGGTGACTGACAGATATTCTAAGCGACTGAGCCAAGGAGTCACTGGGCTCTTAGTACTCTTAGTACTCCCAGCCACCTCCTAGCTATGATTTCCAACAGGGAATGTTTCGTCGCCCCAGTGTCCGAGCATCTCTGGATGGGAATTCCCCTCCCCTCCCCCCTTCTTCCCCCCCCCCCCCCCCCCAGCCATTCCCTGTGACCTGGCTGTGTGAAAACAGAGAGTGGCAACTTACCCTCACCGGAACCTCATGCCAGTCCCTCCGCAAGGCAGTGGGGGGAGAAAAAAAAGAGAAGCAGGGATAGGGGGACTTGAGCAATAGTCTCCCAGGCCAGGGGCTGGGGAAAGGCACAGCCAGAGCCCTGAGCAGGGGCTGAAGCCAAAATCAGCCAGGCAGGGCTCAGAGCCGGGTCTAAGCGGCTGCCATCCTCTCCCGGGGACAAAGCAGCAGGAAGGTCAGGATAGGTGACACCCTCCTCCCCACCCCTCCATAGCTCGTGTCAATCAACTGCCCTGGAAGCCCCAGGCACCCGCTGTATGGGAAAGTCACTCCGAGTGACAGGAGTGCTGAAGAGCTTCTGTAACTAAATACTACTCTGCTCTTCCTGGTCACTTTTGTGCTTTCCTAGTCTCTAAGCAAAAAAAAAAAAAAAAAAAACGATGTCAACTCTTTTAGAAAAACACAGAAGAAAAATATCAAACACGGGGTGAAAAATCAAAACCTCTGCTGAACTTAACATTTCCTCCCTCGGGCCAAGTGATAGCAAAGCGGATAGGGCATTTGCCTTGCATGAGGGTATCTCATAAGGTCCCGAAGCACCGCCAGGAGTAAGCCCTGAGCATCCATCGCTGGGTGTGACCCAAAAAGCAAACAAAAACAACAACAACAACAAAAAGAGAACATTTCCTCCCTGTGAAGCAGGGAAAAACAAGCACGTGCTCGTCATTAGTGACAGTTCCTCTAGAGAGGCAGGAACATTAAGAACCCGTCACTCTAATCTGGGGGGGGGGGGGGGGAGAGCGAGAACGAGCTAGCGAGAGAGAGAGAGAGAGAGAGAGAGAGAGAGAGAGAGAGAGAGGTGGGTTGGTAGGGCAGGCCTGGGGAATGACTCAGGGCTGGAGGGAAGCTCTGGCTTGCAGGAGCTGCAGGGTCCCATCCCTTGTACTGCAGGATCCCGAGTGTTGCTAGCTGTGCTCCCCATCTTCCCTCACCCCCGAGACAGGGAGAAAAACATCCTGAGCACCTCAGAGCCCGCAGAAACAAGAGGTGACAGAAGCTGGGCAAGGAGGTCCGGAGGGCCAGCAATCTGGGTGTGCCTCTCCCCGGGACCTGGGATTCTGGTACTCCGGGCGGGAATTTCAGAGGATCTTCCCCCAGAAACACACACACACACACACACACACACACACACACACACACACAAACACACACCCCTCACCTGCCTTCCTGCATCCCCTCAGCCCCTGCCTGGAGCACCTGCTCCTTCCGGCCCGCCCGGTTACCTGGTTCTCCACCAGCATGGCGATGTCCATGAACATGTCGTGCAGCTCCTTGATGCTGCTCTCAAGCTGCACGATGTCCTTGTGCCGCCCCTCGATCTCACTCAGGGCTTGCTTGGAAATCTGAGAGTCGATGATCTAGAGGGGCCACAGGAGCAGGCCGTCGGCCACCGCGCCCGGACACGGCCCGGCTCCCCGCCGCCACCCCCTCCTCGCCACTCCGCAGCTGCCACCCCATCTTCACGCCACGCGGGGGACGCGCTGCGTGGTGGGTCCCGAGGCGCTCACCCCGGAAGTGAAGATCGCGGGGTTTCCGCTCTCCAGCATCTCCTCCAGCTCCTCATCGGTGGTTTTCTTGCCAGCTTTTAAACAAAAGAACCAGGGTCACATGTAAGGTCGGCTTGAAAGTTTCCTGAGATGCAGGAATACTCTCTTCACCCAAAGGAGTGAGGTCCTTCACACACACACACACACACACACACACACACACACACACACACACACTCATACAGAGATACAAAGACACATACAAACACATACAGAGACACTCACACAAAGACACAAATACACACACACTCATACAGCTACATACATACATAGAGACAGACACTCACAGAGACACACAAATACATACACTCATAGAGACACACAGACACATAACACACATACAGGCACTGATACAGAGACAAAGACAAATACACACACTCACACAGAGATACACACACACAGAGACACTCAGAGATACACAAATACACACACTCATACAGAGATAGACACATACACACAGAGAGACACTCATACAGAGACACACACACACATACACACCCATACAGAGATACATAGACACATACACACATACAGACACTCATACAGAGACAAATACACACACTCATACAGATAAACAGACACACACACATACAGAGACATTCATTCATTCATTCATCATCCTGTTAATCGTCGATTGCCTCGAGCAGGCCCCAGTAACGTCTCTTTCATCCTAGCCCTGAGATTATATTCAAGGCTTTTTAGGAGAATGAGACCCATCATTGTTACTGGTATTTGGCATATTTGGTGCGCCACGGGGAGTTTGCCAGACTCTGCCCTGTGGGCAGGCTATATTCGATAGCCTGCAAGTTTGTCCAGAGTACATACAGAGACACACAGACAAATACATACAGAGTACATACAGAGACACACAGACACACAGACACACAGAGTACACAGACACACAGACACACAGACACACAGAGTACATACAGAGACACACAGACAAATACACATATTCATAGACACATACTCATGGAGTGATAGCACAGCGGGTAGGGCGTTCACCTTACACGCGGCCAACATGGCCGACCCGAGTTCGATTCCTCCGCCCCTCTCGGAGAGCCCGGCAAGCTACCGAGAGTATTCGATATGCCAGACACAGTAACAACAAAGTCTCCAATGGAGACGTTACTGGGCCCGCTCGAGCAAATCGACGATCAACGGGAGGGCCTTTACCTTTACCTTTACCATAGACACTCATACAGAGACAGACACACACACACTCATGCAGAGATACACAGACACATACACACACATACAGAGACACACAAATACACACACACTCAGAGATACAGACACACACATACAGATACTCATACAGAGACAAATATACAAATATACAGATAGAAACACACACACACATAGAGAGATACTCACACAGAGACACACAGACAAATACACACATTCACAGATACTCATACACAGCCAAACACACACACACACACACACACACACACGCCAAGAGCAACCTGACATGTCCTGGACAAGAAGCCCCCTCCTGCCTGAGCCCTGCTCCATCCATCTTAACCCTCACAGTACCCAATACCCCCTCGCCCCAGGCACTGAACACCACCACTCTTTTCTGAGGAGACATGGCAGAACCCCTCACAGTCTGACTAGTTTCCTTATTCCTCACAGCCACCCCCACTCCACTTTTTCTGTATCAGTGTTCTTTGCGGTTGGACAGGGGGGGCCGTGACTCCACAGGGGAGCAGGCGTTCAGCCAGCACTTCCTCGGTGTGTGAGGCAAGGCGGGCTCCCCCACCCACGGCTGAAACCCCCCTGCCAGGCCCAAGAGTGGCCACTGTTCCGGGTGGGAGCAGGGAAAGGCGAGGAGGCGCGGCCACACTTCCAGCACGTACTGATTTCGAGCTGCCGCTGGATTCGCCCTTTGCTGCGCTCGCGGAAGTCCACCTGCGCCTCGTTGTATCTGGTCATCACCTCCACAAACTTCCGGGACAGGACGGAGTGCTGCAGGGACAGGGGGTGATGGAGGACGCCCCCCAGAACAGAGACCCAGGAGGGCCCTGGCCTCTGAAGAACCTGCCCACACCTCCCCCTACACCCATGCCCCCAAGAGGCAGGGCCCCAGGGGCCTCCGACCTCGACGCAAAAGCCCAGGGGGTCAGGCTCCACGTCCTGTTTTCCTCAAGATGCCCATTGGCCTTTCTAAAGCAGGTTTGCAGCCCCTGTTCCTGCTCTGCTGACCTCATACGGTCATGATGGGGCCCAAGTCACCAGCCTCCCAACATCCCCCCCATGCCGAAGTTCTTACCAGACTGATTACCCTGCAGTTTCTTGCTTATAACAAGATCTATTTACTCGCAAAATTTCAAAAGACTCCTACATTACCTTCCTAACATGCTGCAACCTACAACTGAGGCACCCAGGCCAATTAATCACAGCCCGTGTTCCCGATCCCAAAGAATCTAGAGGATTCCAAAGCCTCTAGAACAGGGCTCTGCATTCACTCTGAAGATGTCAGTGTCTGTTATGCCACAATACATGTTTTTTTTTTCTTCACACACATTAGTCTCAAGTCTGTCACTTGCCCACTCTCCATCACCACTTACTGCTTCTACCCCTCGCCCTCTCTCTTTTGCTCCCGACCTGGTGGTATTTGGGTTCCTCCTGGCTCTGCACTCAGGAATTACTCCTGGTGGTACCGAAGAGGACACCCTATGGGATTCTGGGGATGGAACCTGGGTTGGCCCCAAGGATCTTTATCTCTGATTACTTCGAAACTGGACAACTACAGACTAACAACCCTTAGAGAGGTTTGGGCCTTCCTGCTTGCATGAGGAGGCTGTGCTTGAAGGCCCTGAGCACCAAGTGCTCTGAGTAGGAGAGAGAGAGGAGAGGAGAGAGGGGAGAGAGAGAGAGAGAGAGAGAGAGAGAGAGAGAGAGAGAGAGAGAGAGAGGGGAGAGAGAGAGAGAGAGAGAGAGAGAGAGACAGAGACAGAGAGAGAGACAGAGACAGAGACACAGAGACACAGAGAGACAGAGACACAGAGGGACAGAGGGACAGAAGGACAGAGAGAGTGTGAGTGAAAGGGCTCAAAGGGCTGAACACTGGCTCTGGCTCCCTCTAGCCAGCTGCTCTTCAAATCAACATCCAAGTCACAGTCACATCTGTGGAAGGAAAGATTCCTGGATCTGGGAAAAAAAACAACAAACTGAAGACTGGTTCTCGGACCAAGGGAAGTTTTACCTGGGATTTCCGGATGCGAAGGTCTGCGGACGAGCGGATTTCTTCGTCTTCAATGTGCCTCTCCATGCCTAGGGGCCAGAGAGAGAGGTGATTCCAGCAACAGAGGGAAGTTATCCGGGCTGGGCACCAGCCTCCCCCTCGGGCACACACCAGCAGGTGCCATCCCTCAATTTTTATATTTTATTTTCATAAAAATAGTTCACAATAGTTCATTACAAATTACATTCAAACACCAATCCCACCACCAAGCACTTTCCCACCACAATAAGAGGGAAGTGTGTGAAGGATGTTGTTATTTCATTCTGGAGCCATTAAAGCCCAAATATAAGAGAATACAAGCAAGGATGTTACAACCAAACAAATGTGTGCCACTTTTGGTAAGTAAGTGGGTTAGAGTATAAGAGGTCACACGGCCACAAATGCGGCCACGTGCTCCAGGAAATTCTGCATCGCTTTCTTCTGGGAACTTTAGTTTATAGTCTCTGGGTCTTGGCTGTTGATGAGATTACACAGTGCTGGGGGCAGTTTGTGGGTGTGACTGCCAAACTACAAGGTGCCATTCCTCCTGGGCTGCTCCCTGGGTCTCTGATGGGCTGCTGTGGGCTCCGTACATACAGATGCTCCTCCTCGTCAGCAGTGTTGACTTTTCTCACCCCAACACCTTGCCCTGACGCTTCGAAGTGGGTGTGGGGGTGGGGGGAAGGGGGAGGTCTGTGCCATACCTGGCAGCGCTCAGGAATTCCTCCAGGCTCTGTGCTCAGGGATCCCTCCTAGCAGGACTTGGGGGACCATGTGGAGTGCTGGGGATGGCCACGTGTCAGGTGGACAGTGTGTGTGTGTGTGTTGGGCATGGGGGGCTGCCCTGCTACTTTCAAGTCACAGCATGATACACTGGGAGAGCTACGGCTGGTCTGTCCCCAGTGAAAGGGAACAAGCAGCAGTGCCCCCAGCACAGCATGGTGAGGGGCCCACCAGGAGGCACCCAGAGCACCTGGCATAGCAGCTGCTCACCCTGTCCACCTCTGCCCTCCGTGGGATCATACTGAAGGTTGGGGCAGTGTTGCTCTCACTCTCCAGCCCACGGGACATGGCCACCACCCCACTGGGCAAACACAACAACAAGTGACCAGGGAGCCAACAAAGTCCACCAAAGAGAATCCTTCTGCGGGGGCTTCTCTGACCCAGACTCTGTCCAGAGGGTGTGGAGCCAGTGACACACCCACCCCCAGAACGCAGCCCAGACAGAATGCTGACATAGCTCCACGGCTCGGGAGGGACAAGCTAAGAGCCCAGCTCACCGGGGGACGGGATCTGAAGGCGCCTGTCCATCCCACCCCCTCAAGTCTGGACACTTCCAGCTACAGCCACACTTTTCAAGCAGGGGCTGAATGTCTGGGGCAGTCACAGGGGCAGGGGTCAAGCCCCCAGAAAGGCCAGGAGAAGAAGGGGCGGCACGCCAAGAGGCTGGAAGTGAGGTGAGCAGCGTAAGCTCCCAGCTTACTCTTCAACTTGTTCCGGACGTTGTTGGCCCTTTTCTTGATCTCGGCTGTGAGCTGCTCCAGGTCATCCTTGGTTTCTGGGGTGGAAATAAAGGCAGGGTGAGTCCACGGGGCTTGACTCACTGTGTTAGGCGCTGCAGCCTAACACGGGGAGCAGGGGTCTTTCTCAGCACCCATGCCCAGAGCTATATTCATCCCAGTGAGAATCCCATTAGAATCCCTGCTTCACAAAAGACTTTTTTTTTAAACAATACCCATCCCAGACCTCTAGAATTGGAAAAAAAGAAAAAGAAAAAGAAAAAACAGCTGGAGCCTACCATCTGTCCTTATAACCAGGCTACCAATAGGAGAACATTCTAAAAGCTTGCTTCTATTTTTAAACATGAATTTGTTTGAATTGGAGGGCCAGCCGTGCCAGGGATTACTTACTCCTGGCTCTGTGCTCAAGGGCCACTCCTGTGGGAAACAACATATGGTGCCAGGAATCGAATCTGGGTTAGCTGCATGCAAGGCAAGTGCTAAGCTTAACCCTTATGCTATCTCCCTGGTCCCAAATACTGCTTTCTTTTTTATCTTTTAAAAAAATTTTTTTAATTGAATCACTGTGAGATAGCCCCTTACAAAACTCATGACTAGGTTGCAGTCATGCTCATTATCAAGTTGCAGTCATACAGTATTCCAACACCCATCCCTTTACCAGCGTACATTTCCCAGCACCAGGGTCCCCAGTTCAAATACTGCTTTTAGAGGGAGAGGGGGAGGAATCTGGTTTACCATGAAGCTTTCAACCAGGAAATGTGGGACTGTGTTTTCCTGCAACTTCTGCACTTGAAATCAAGCGAAAATGTAGAGCACGCTGGCTGTGGGCCCCAGGCACAGGGCATGCAGTTACGGGGAATGAACTAAGTAGGAGTGATGACCATTCAAAAGCATCCTCTAGCACCTGCCCCAAGGTTGGCACTCAGCAAGGAACACAGGGTCAGAGACAGGTGACATCCGGATCCTGCCTTCAAGGGCTCCAGATCAGGATAAACAGATAAGCAGGTCTAATGTACAGAGCGCGTCAACAGCTGGCTGAGGAGAGGTGCAGAAAGGTTTCTCACACAGGCGGCAGGAGGATTAAATCTCAAGGACCAGGGGTTAAACAAGTAGAAAAGCAGACAGGAAGTGTGTAGGAAGAGGAAGATCTCTGAAGGACACAGATTAGTCTGGGAATGGGCCGGGTGGCCAGCATGTAGGAGAGGACGGAACGAAGGATGGCAGGGAAGTAACACATGGGACCACGGCAGTGCCCAGGCACCTACTCGCTGCAACCCTGACCTTGATAGAGAGGAGAAGTCACAAGAAAATTCTCAGAGTGAAATGACAGCATGACTGTGCTCCCTGTCCCCAAGGAACTGAAAATATTACCTTCAATGCTACCCTAAAAATGTGACATTTGGAGGGAAGAGGGAAAGTATTATTTCCGTGGTGGTAACAAAATCACAGGTTAAGGTTGGGAGGAATAAAGGGGGATATGAGGGGCTGGAGTGAAAGCACAGTGGGTAGGGTGTTTGCCTTGCACGAGGCCAACCCGGGTTCGATTCCCACCATCCCATATGGTCCCCTGGGCACCGCCAGGGATAATTCCTGTGTGCATGAGCCAGGAGTAACCCCTGTGCATCGCCAGGTGTGACCCAAAAAGCAAAAAATAAATAAATAAAGGGGGGAATGAATCATTTTGGACACATTTCACGGGAAGAAAAGAAAAAGGAAGAACGTGGAAAGGGAGCTGGAGGAAGAGGAGAGCGTGCCAGCCATGGTGCAGTGGACACACACACAAGGAATGCCCAGAGCAGTAAGAGTCCCAGCTGGGCCCTGGCCAGGTCCTGAGAGGAGAGAGTCAAGTCTGATTAAAGGGATAAAATGTGGGACCAAAAAGGGGCCAGAGCGATAATTCAGTGGGTAGAGCAATTGCCTTGCATGTGGCTGACTTGGGTTCGATCCCCGATATCCCATACGGTCCCCCAAGCACTGCCAGGAGTAATTCCTGAGTGCAGAGCCAGGAGTAACCCCTAAGCATTGCTGGGTGTGACCCCAAAGGCAAAAATAAATACAATAATAATTTTTTAAAAAAATGCAGGACCCAAACCACAGCACTCAAACGGAGAGAGACAACAAAAGGGGATGCCCTGCCACAGAGGTAGGGTGGGATGGGGGATGGGGGAAGGGGGGTGGGAGGGATACTGGGATCAGTGGTGGTGGAGAATGGGCACCAGTGGAGGGATGAGTATTCGATCATTGTATAACTGAAACCCAAGCACAAAAATGTGTCAGTCTACAACTGTACCTCATGGTGTTTCACTAATAAAAATTTAAGGGGGAAAAAAGAAAAAAAAAGAACAACACCAACAAAAAAAAAAAAATGCAGGACCGTAAAGAGAAACGCTTCCCAGGGCTGGACAGTGTCAGGTCACGGAGGGCAGAGGAGCTGAAGACAAAAGGATGAGACCATCACATAAAGTGCTGGAACTTGACTCTGCGGATCCGGGAGGGAGGAAGGCGAGCTGGCTTGGTCCCAGCACCAAGGGTGGTGCCCGGAGAGTCCCCACGTGGAACACTCACTTGGCTCTGGAATGGGTGCGGACAGGATGACACTGTAGAGCTTTTTGGCCTCCTCCACGTGCTCTGATATCTTGTCGATGTTGAGCCGCGTTTCCTCGATCTACCACGGGAAAGACAATAACCTCTGTCATGAGAGGGAAGAAGACACCCATTGCGGAGAGGAAATGCTGGAGGTATTCCTGGGCGGAAGCTGCGGAGCAGGGAAGAGGGGGAAGAAGAAGAAGAAGAAGAAGAAGAGAGGGAGGAGGAGGAGGAAGAGGAGAAGGGGGAGGAAAAGGAGGAGGAAGAGAGGGAGAGGGAGAAGGGAGGTGGAGGAGGAAGGGGAGGAGGAGGAAAGAGAGGAAGGAGGAGGAGAAACAGTAAGGAGGAGGAGGAAGAGAAGGAGGAGGAGAAGGAGGGAAAGGAGGAGGAGGAAGGAGAAGAGAAGGAGGAGGAGGAGGAGGGAGAGGAGGAGAAGGAGGAGGAGGGAGGGAAAGGAGGAGGAGGAGGAGGAGGAGGAAAAGGAGGAGGAGGAGGAGGAAGAGAGGGAGAGGGAGAAGGGAGGTGGAGGAGGAAAAGGAGGAGGAGGAGGAAAGAGAGGAAGGAGGAGGAGGAGGAGGAGGAGGAGGAGGTGGGGGAGGAGGTAGGGGAGAAGGAGAATCCACACCCACCGTTTCCTGAGAGGAAAACATCCGCCCTCCCTGGGAGAAAGAACCCGCAAGAAATACCCTGGAAGAAAACACTCAGTGGGTGGGAGGGTGAGAATCCTTCAGCCCAGGGTTCTCGACCGTTCTCCCGCTGGGGGGGGCTCTTTTCTGTGCATTTCCATCCATCCTACCGGTCGGCCCTCTATTCTTCAAAATATCGGCAGGGGTAGCCCAGGGTGTCTCTTGCTCACTGAACCCTTAGGATGATGGAGACCAAAGCGGGAGCCAAGAACGCCTCCTGCACATTTCTGACTCGACCAGACATGACATTTCCAAACTCAGTGCCCCCAGCACGACATTCCCGGGGAGGACGCAGGCCACTCAGGCAGGAACGCAGGGTGCAGCCCCAGATTCCTCGCCAAGGACCCTCATACCCCACACCACGGCCCAAGCAGAGGGGCAAGTGTACATCCCATCTCCCCGCCCCCCTACACCACGGCCACACCTGCCTGGTCTGTCCATCTGCTTCCCAAGCCAGGGGCATGTCACCAAGAAGAGGGAGGCCAGGACCTGGGGTGAGGTGGGGGGGGAGAATATGGAGGGTGGGGGGTAGGGGGTGGGGGGCGGTGTGGCTTGGGGGAAGATGAGCGACCTTATAGTAATCAGACTATGTGGGGTCCAGGAATAAAGGCAAAACAACTTAACCTGGGTCCAGACTGCAAAAACAGCAAGACACACAAAAGAGTCTCGAAACGGAGCAGCTCGCTGCAGAGATGCCTTCGGACTCTGCACCAGGCCGACTTCACTGGGATGCCTCAGACGGGAGCAGACACTGTCCCTCCACCTGCCCCCTAGGAGCAGGATGGTGATGCTGCCATCTTCCAGAACCCAATGAAAAGCCCAGGTACTTGGGATTAGTGACGGCAATCTCCAGACCTCCTCATGGATAGGGGATGGGTCAGCCCTTCCCATCACCCTGCCCTCATGGGACCCTGGGTGTCACAGTTTCCGGAAACTATTTAAGCTCCTTAACGGCCACGATCAGGAGAGACACACAAAAGATTCTCAGAACCAAGCAGTTCGCTGCAGAAATTTCTCCAGACCCTAATGATCTAAAATTTTAGACTTCTAGGAGCGTGAGAATGCTTTCACAGCTGTGTGACATCCTATGTTACGCACAGTGGCAATACAAATAAATTACCTCGCATCTGCCTATTCGGCAGGTTTGAGTGATGGTGGGAAATTCAAAATAATGGTGGTGGGAAGGTGTGATGGTGGTGGGACTGGTGTCGAAATAATGCATGTAATCCATTACTGGGAACAACTTTATGATCACTTAATCACTTAACTTCCCGTTAGTCGTCGATTTGCTCGAGCGGGCGCCAGTAAGGTCTCCATTTGTCCCTGTCGCGTGCTAGTGTAGCCCAATAGCATCTCTTCGCTCCGGGAACATGGAGGGCCTCAAACCGATCGTTCATGACCTTGACAAAGAAGTCTGACCATCTGGTAGGTGGGCGGCCACGCAGTCTCTTGACATCCCGTGGAATCCAATCAGTAACAGCTCTAGTCCAACGGTCGTCTTTAAATCTCATTACGTGACCAGCCCATCTGATTTTCGACACCTTGGCAAATGAGACAGCGTCCCTGATCCTTGATCGTCGACGGATGTCAGAACTCCGGATTCGTTCTCTCATTTGAGTGAAACGTGATATTCCAAGCATAGCTCTTTCTATTCTTCTTTGGGAGACCTGAATGGCGTTCTCATCTTGTTTGCGTAGGGCCCAGGTCTCTGAGGCATATGTTAATGCAGGAAGAACAGTGGAATCAAAGAGATGTGCCCGGAGCCGGAGGTTCTTCGTCCTCTTAGCTATTTCTTCGACGTTCTTGAAGGCGTTCCAAGCCGCTCTCTTCCTCCTGCGCAGCTCGGGTGCCAGGTCATTTGTCATGTTGACCTCTCGACCTAGGTACACATAGCTGTTGCATTCGGAGATGGTCGTTCCATTGAGAGCAAATGGGGCGTCAGGAACAAGGCTGTTTCTCATAAACATTGTCTTCGTAAGATTCAGCTGTAGTCCTACCTTTCCACACTCACGGTCAAAGTCGGCCAGCATTTGTGCCGCTTGGCTGATGTTTGGTGTTATGAAAACAATGTCATCAGCAAAGCGGAGGTGGTGTAGTTGCCGACCATCTATCTTCACTCCCATTCCTTCCCATTCCAGTCGTCGCATGATGTTCTCGAGGGTGGCACTGAAGAGTTTTGGTGAAATGGTATCACCCTGCCGCACCCCTCTCTTGACATCAACGATCACTTCTTTGTAGAATGGTGAGATCCTGGTAGTGAATCCGCAATACAGCTCACGGAGGATCCTGATGTATTGGGCTTGAATGCCCTGATTGGCTAGGGCTTCAATGACCGCTTCCGTCTCAACAGAATCAAAGGCCTTCTTTAAATCAATGAACGTTAAGCAGAGCGGCATCTTGAACTCCCGAGAAACCTCAATGAGTTTGGTTATCGTGTGGATATGGTCGATGGTGCTGAATCCTTTGCGGAACCCTGCTTGCTCACATGGTTGTCCTTCATCTAGTGTTCTGCCAATCCTATTCAGGATGACTCGAGTGAACAACTTGTAGATGACAGACAATAGGCAGATCGGGCGATAGTTGCCAATGTCATGGATGTCTCCCTTCTTGAACAGTAGTATGGTCCTGCTGGTTTTCCATTGAGATGGAACCTTGCATTCAGACAGGTAGCGAGTGAAGAGCCGAGCCAGTGTATTGATGAGTACTGACGGCAGGTTCTTCAGGTGTTCAGGTCTGACCTTGTCTGGGCCGGGTGCTGTTTGCTTCTTTACTGACGAAATGGCGTGTCGGATTTCAGAAGGGAGAACGTTGGGAACGACATACCCATCCTGTGGAATTTGGTATGTCGGCAAGTGGACATGGCTATCGAAGAGATTTGAGTAGAAGTCATGGATAATCTTCTCCATTGCCGTTCTGGAGGATGTGATGGATCCATCAGGACGTCAGAGGGCAGTCATCTTGGTCTTATAGTTGGCGAAGGACAGACGGGCGTTACGAATACTTTTCCCGGCTTCTGCCGCATCTACCAGTACTTCTGCTCTTCTCTCTTTGAGGTCTTCCTTGATCGCATCTCTGCACTGCTTTGCAAGCTCGGACGTTAGCTTGCGGTTGCCTGAGGCATGCGCCAAACCACGCTGGCGAATTAGCTCAAGAGTTTTCGAAGACAGAGCTTCGGGACAGAGCTTCTCTGCTTGCTCCCACCACCACAGGTGACAAAGGGATTCTAATCAGGAGCCCCACCCTACCCTGCCCTGTCTGCTTCCATCAACCACCCAGGGATTGAATTGTGCACAGGAGACCCACCCTACCCAGATAAATACCCCACTGGCAGACTTCCACTCTCGACACTACTTCCACTACCCAGCCGTCGCCACACTCCAGGACGCTTTCCGGACCCGCGCGGCAGCTCCGGCCGAGACCCACGCACAACTGAAGACCCACAGAACAAGGTAAGCAGAACTTTCTGAGACCTTGGACTCCAGGCTCGGCGGACCCAGGGACAGAGCTTCTCTGCTTGCTCCCACCACCACAGGTGACAAAGGGATTCTAATCAGGAGCCCCACCCTACCCTGCCCTGTCTGCTTCCATCAACCACCCAGGGATCGAATTGTGCACAGGAGACCCACCCTACCCAGATAAATACCCCACTGGCAGACTTCCACTCTCGACACTACTTCCACTACCCAGCCGTCGCCACACTCCAGGACGCTTTCCGGACCCGCGCGGCCGGACACATCATAAGACACTAAATACCCGTCTTCTGGAATTGTCGTACCATATTTGATAGGGTTCAAATATGGTAACACCTACAAGGGTGATTAGAGGTCACCCCAAAAGCCTCTATACCTCTCGGAAAGACTGGCAAGCTACCGAGAGTATTCCGCCCGCACGGAAGAGCCTGGCAAGCTATCCGCTGTGTATTCGATATGCCAAAACCAGTAACTACAACTGGTCTCATTCACCTGACCCTGAAGGCTTCACCGACATGGCAGCACTGAGAAGCATGAGAAAGGAGAGGCCGACAAAATCTCAAGGCCGACCTAGGCTGCCACAACGAAGGAAGACAAAAATGATCGTCTGTACTTTCAATGCACGTACGCTAGCATCAGATGCATCCATCGAGGACCTGATGGTACAAGCGCGAATGATCAAGTACGACATCATTGGTCTGACCGAGACAAGAAGACACGAATCTCACCATGCCGTTTTCGACACTGGAGAAGAATTGTTCCTCGGAACATGCGATAAAAGAAGTGTTGGAGGCGTCGGTGTCCTTGTCAACACAAACTTGGCCAAGAGCATTGATTCATTCGAATGCCTAACAACCCGAATCGGACGTTTACATTTGAATAGATGTGGCTCACTGCCTGCAGTTTCTATCTTCGTTGTCTAC